AAGAAAGCGACGAATTATTGTATACGGTTCGGTCACTCGTTACGGTCCGCAATCTGCACTGCGCGTGCAAGATTTCGATCGACGAAACTCTTCGTTCATTTGAAAATGTACATACGTATGGCATAGTGAGCGTCACCTCGAAATCGTGGTGAACTGAAAAATTACCGATACATTTTATTAAACACGTGAATATAATTCTGCCATGTTGAAGTCGAAAGGATATTATCTGTAACTCAAATCAAAATATTAGTGCCAAACTAATGTTTAAATAAAAAATCTTAGCTATACTGAAACTGAAGGTATAGCAGCTTCTGTTTCGGCTATCCAATTATTAAATACTGAAAGTCTTTCTTTTAAAGTCAATCCTCAAACTATTTAAGTAATTAACACGTTGATTTTTAACCTCGACAGTCAATGAAAATCGTACATCAAATTTTAATTTAAATTGTATTTCTGATGACTGACGATTAATTAAGTTAGAAATGCTCAGGATAATCTGATTTCGCGCTTGTATGCATCAGACGAATTCTTCTTCTTAAGAACGACGTGGAAAATTGATTTGGCAATTATTTTCTCGAGATAATAAACGCAAGCGCTTTTCTTCTTTTTTTTTTTTTTTAAAGGACACATTTTACAAATACATACCATAGCATTAACAACATTTAGACCGAGCATTTTTATCGATACGAGGCCTGTTCTATTCGCACAAGCATGTATTAACGTGCGTGTGTGTGTCTGTAAAGTGAAATGTCGTTATATTTGCTGGGTAATATAATTTGCAGCGATGCATATTCGAATACTTTGAACTTTGACTTTTAGATCGGGCCTCTATCATAGAGTAATACATCACTATAATCAAAAATAAAGGCTTTAAAAAGAATAAATGAATCGCCGGTACTTTTTGACGATGCGACGACACGCGCGGAAAGAATGTTTCAAAAATTTACGTTCTGATAGAAAGTTAAAGGGAAAAGGGCGAACGATTCTTTCTCTTGCTTGCCTCGTCATAAAATATAGGGAGTAATATTAGCACGCGCTGGTATCCTTAAATTTTTAAAAAATAGTTTGCAGTAAGAGCAAGATTCTATTTATTACGTCTTTTTATTACTATTTCATTAAAAAAGAAAGAGTGATATTTTACATCGGTGTAAAACAGAGTTAGCTTCAAGTAAAAGTTTGTTAACACGAATGAATTAGCTTCAAGTAAAAGTTTATCAACACGAATAATGGTTGGCCATAAATTTATTGCACGTTCAAAATAGTACACCTAATTTTCAATTGCTTTTTTATGGTTGGTTTACTCAAAATTACCCAAAAATGAAATTCAATTGCTCTTTATTATTTAGCTATTAAAATGAAATTCAATTGCTCTTTATTATTTAGATATTAGTTTTAATGACAATTTTTTTCTTTTTTTTCTTTTTTTTTGCCCCTCGGTTGTTCTTCGACAACAAAACGAGAGAACTTCGACGCGAAACTAATGACTCACGGTGACACGTAAATTCAAATTATTCGGGATGCAAGTATCTTTTGTGCAAGTGCAAATCGGCTCGTGTGCCATGAATTCAAATGCGGGTCGCAATTGGTTATGCGTGGTGCTTCGCTTGTTCCGTGATTTCCGTATGTACAGTTTAAAATGATGTAGATATACATATATCTAGAGACATGAGTGCATGTGCACATGCGTCTCTTTTTGAAATTATCAACACAATCCTCCTTGCCTGACAGGCCGGTACAATGCGCTGGCAATTTAACTCACCGAAGAATTTATATCAATCCAATACACGTGATAACAGCGATATTTTCCGAAGCAGTTCATCAACTGTTTTTCAACGAAAGAAAAAGAGGAACAAAACAAGAAAGAAAGAGAGAGAAAAATGACGATACTGTCGCAGCGATGGTTGCTCATTTTTTTTTTTTTTTTTTATCAGTGTATTTATTGTCTTATTCAACGTGTGAGAGAAGTATATAAAATACGTAAAAATCAATTTGAAGATGCAAAAATACGTGTATAAATTTGAATACTAGAGTCCCTAGTAACTCTTTGAATACTAGAATCTGGGAATTAGTAATATTGAATAAATATATGGAAAGTATTCAAAATACTTATATAAAATATTTTGAGATTAGCAACTATTATGATTATATTGATAAGGTTAATTTCAAGATAATACATATATCTATATTTAATGAAGAATTAGTATATAGCATGAAAAATTGATACCTATAATCTGAAGCAGATACCTAATAAATATTAAAGATAATTCTTATTGAGTATTGACATAATGGATAAATGACTGTTTAAGTAGATACTTTTATATATACTCATATATAAATAATCTCTATATATTTTTTAGATTTATTCCAAATTTGACCAGATATACCTAATCAAGATACATGACTCTGATTACAGTGATTTGAATTTCGAAATGTTTCATATAACGAACATAATATATTCATTAAAGTGTCCAAGCACCGATTAAGGAGTCAAACAAATAATTTTATAGTCAATAATAAAATAATTGATTTACTCATTAGAGAGTCACATTATCATAAATATACCAAAAGTATATGTTCAAAAATGAATGTAATCCTTAATTTGTCAAGTTTTTACGATAATTTCAACCATCAAAGTAAAAATTTGACTCGTCGTGAACTCAGGCGGCTAAATAGCAATTTCGCTCATTTATTTTATCCACTTTTCCTATTTGCCAAGTGTTCTGTTTCACTTTCACAAATCTACCTACTCTCGATTTTGGAAACTGCGACTTTCCTTCTTTTCTATTTTTTGCAAACACTACATATATGCATTCTGTCATTTCTCAGCGATTTTCCCTTAATTTCCATCTCCGTGAATCCTCCCATCCTCTCCGCCAACCCTTCGCACATTATACACAAAAACATCGATGCGGATATTTCGCGGAGCAAGAAGAAAAAAAAAAGATACGCGAGCACGAAGAGCAAATCAGAAAGAAATAACGAAAAATAACCAAAAAGAGAGGAGAGGGAAGGAGAAAGAAAGAAAAAAAAAAGAAACAGCAGCCAGGAAGATAGAGCAAGTGGAGAAACCAGGCTTGATCGAGCCACCCTCGTGTGTCACTCGTTTCGTCATACGATAGGGTGCAAAAACGACAGAGAAATCACGCAAAAGCGGGATCGAGAGAGAGAGAGAATATATATATATTATATACATATATATGTATATATATATATATATATATATGTACATGTGTACGCGCGTGTATATGAATGCACGAGAGAGATAGTGATAAGAGGAGGAGAGATGGTGCACAGTAGAAATGTCGATAAAACATGTTGGCCAATGAGGAAGCTTCGAGTGACGTCATAGTCGTGGCATTGGCCAATCAGGAGGCACCGGTAACATCACCACGAGGGTGGAAACAAGTCGACCCCAACCAGGGGAGAGGCTTTTCTCTTTCTGGGGGGGTTGCACGGAAAAGGGTCGGTTGCCAGAGAATCGCGAGAACCCGGAAGAAGAGAAGAGAGGGGAAACGAAGAAGGAGACTACAAAGAGGAAGGGGGTTGTAGGTGGTTGTAGGCGGGTTAAGGGGGTAGCAGGGGGATGAAACGAGAGAGAGAGAGAGAGAGAGAGAGAGAGAGAGAGAGAGAGAAAGAGAGAGTGGCGGAGAGGGGGTCGAGGGGGTGAGAAGTCGGAGGTTCGGGGATTCGGTCTGCATGCCGGGGAGTCGCTGGTGGCGGTTCAGGCAACCCCCAATATGGGTTTACTAATCCCGCGAAACAATGGAAATTGCCCGATGCAAAATGGCGATAGATAAACTACTCTACCTCGGGGAGTCCGAGAAAAGCCGGGATAGATAGCTCGGCGACTGATAATAGAAGGGAAATACCCTGTTCGTTGGCTGATCAATCCGCTGCCGTGGATGTCGTTCGATTGTTATTATTCGCGTTTTCGGGTTTCGGTTGCGCGGCACTTGGAGGTCGTTGAACTTTTGACGTCACGTTTTTTTGAAAAACGTTGCCGGTTAGGTCAATTAAAACGAGCAGACTGCGGGGAATTGAAAGATGGATAGATAGAAAGAATGTACGCGGAGAATGTATTGTGTAAATATGTAAAATGTCCAACATAGAACACTAGATTGCGGATTTTTATGCAAATTTGTATTTTCGATCGCAATCCGTAGTCCGAAAATTAGAACTTCCGTGGAAAATTGTTTTACGTAGATATTAGATGTTGCACTGTACTTTGAATTTTGTGTAATTTTCGTGCTTTAAAATTTCCTGCAAAATTTAATAGGAAAAACAATTTAGATTCCTATTTAGTTTTGAAAGATTCGTAAAAATATAAAAATGCATAATCATCTACAATCCATTAGTAATGATAACGTACAAAATAGTAACAATCCATAAGTAACGAGTAACATACAAATAATAAAGACAGATACTACTTGTGTTTAATGGTAATAATTGGCAATACACGTAATATACTTCAATATCTAAAATGCAGATTGTGCAACATGATTATTACAGTCTCATCCAAATTCTAGAGATATAAATTGTTTCATTCAATACCTGGTACAAAAATACACATGAAATTTTCCTACAAAAAGACGAAAGCTTTAAACTAACAGGATAAATGAATAAATTATTTAATTCGTTTACAAAGAGATGGAATAAGGCGACGCATACATTATTGATTAAATAGATTTTACATACAAACTTATTACAATGGAATATGCAAGATGTCCAACTTTAATTGCAATCGCTAATTTTACTTTTCAACGTAAATATAATTTTCTTTTGACAACAACTGTCGAGATTTAAATTCGAGACATGATCAATTTAGTTTAAGATCCCTTGAACAATCTTTTTAAAAAAGTTACTGAATTAAAAATACACACACCGTTTATAGATTGATATAAGTTAAACTAAATTATTTATCTAATAATGGGACACACGACAGTGGTCCTTGAAAACAGAAGACTTTTTTAAATTCTATCCCGCTTTCTTTGTACTAATAGGTCTGGTTTCAAAATAGAAGAGCAAAATATCGGAAACAAGAGAAACAACTTCAGAAGGCTTTGACTCCGATTCCTGCTTGTCAAGGTGCTATGATGAGGAATATTTACCCTGGTGCTAGCAGAGGTTATCAACCGTACCCTCACCCTCATAATAGCATAAATGGAATAAACCGCTACCCTCAGGCAAGTCATCTTTTTCTCAAAAATGTTCATTCGTTTGTCATTCCCTGTATTAATCTCACTATATATATTCGTACTGCAATTTATTCTGATGGAAAACATTTCTTTCATCATTCCTTTAAAAATGAATATATTATTATTCAGATTCAATGTAATTTTATTAGTAATCGACAGTTTATTTTCTTACAAATTATAGGCATCCGGATTTTTTCTACAAAACGATGCCAAAATTAGCATACAATTAAGAATACTTGAAAATACGAAAAAGCAACAAATTGATTTATTGTTTCACATAATGATTGAATAAGAATTTTCGGTTATGAAGATTTGCAAATATCATCATTAAATTTATAAAATTTATCACTGAATATATAAAATTTGTTAAATTTAATAAGAATTACGTATTTATTAAAATGAGCAAGAAATTTGCAACGTAATAAATTCAGTTCATCGTAAATATAAATTTTGTTCTTATAGTGTGATCTACGTAATCTATCACTAACTTAATATTATTTCATACTTTTACTATCAATTTCTGACCATGTACATATGAATCGTATGTTTTGTTCTCATTTTTATTCACGCAATACGTTGACACTGTTTTTCAGAAAAAAAAACTGAGACACTCTGCGCAAATAATTCTTCAAGTCGCTCATTATCGTTAAAAATATATTAGTGCATTATCAAAAACAAAAATACTAACATAACGTTGACGTACACAACGAAATTTAATTAATACCTCAACATACTAAATTGTCACGTTTCAATATTACTCGTACTTTAATACAAATTCAAGTTTAAATTTGAAGTTCAAGTATCTATCGTATTTTTACAATGAAAATTCAAGTTTAGCACAGGTGACACTCCAGTTTTATTCGAAAGAAGAAGATTTGTCGAAAGACAAAAATATTTCTCGTCCACGTGTATGTAATAAAATACGAATAATATTAAATCTCAAGGTGTCACGTACCGATACAATTCATTCTATTTTTATTATATCTACATTAAAAAGAGAGAGAGAGAGAGAGAAAGGGAAAAAAAGAAATCGTTAGCGCTGACAATCGATGCATCACGCTTAGCAAGCAACGTATCGTATCCCTACGAATGAATTCGATGCGTTTCTCGTTAATGATTTTAACCGAGGTATTAAATTGAAGTGCACCTGAGCGTACGTCCGGTGCATCGCTATCGGTCGATGTAGCTAAATTGCATTTCGACTGATTAGTTGGGTCGGACGGATTACCGAATGCCTACCGAATTAATTAAGCCAATAATTCGTCGAGCGTATCGGTTTGCCAATAAAAAAAGAAAAAGCTTCGAGATCCCCTTAATCGATCCTCGAAGTCATGTTTGTAATACTGCCGATAAAATTATTCGCCGATACTCTCCCTTTGACGTCTCTCTCGTCCGTTGTCTTTTCTACTGGCAATCCGATCTAGAATACTATTCTGTAACAACGAGATTTCGATTTTTGCAGAGCGATCCTTTACTGACAAATTTTCTACTCTCGCAATTCCTGCGTTTCGTATTAATACAAAATATCATTCTGTGAGAATTTTATTTGCTCTACTCGATTTTATTTATTCTGTGTATCAACTGGTTCCTAACGTCGATAAAAGATGGCTAGGAGAATAAAACAAAATTCTCCGTGTTATTAATCTAAATTACTATCATTCTTTGATTTTGACTAATCTTAAGAAATTTTCTATTTTGTGTTTCTTATGCTTCGTATTAATCTAAAATACTATACTCTGCAATAACGAATTTTGATTTTTGTAAAATAGCTCTTTAACAACCAATTTTCTAGTCGTAATTATTATCGCTTAATATTGATTTAAAATATCATTCTAATAATAAATTTGATTTTATTTATTCTGTATATCAACCGGTTTCTAATGTCGACGAAGACGAAGTATAAATAGGAGTTAAATAAAAAAGGAATTCTGTATGTTGGTCTAAACTACCACTCTTTAGTGACAAATTTTTAAGTCCGTAAAAAAAATAAAGGATAATAATCAATTAAAAAATAAACAGCTCACATTTTAATCCATTAATGCTCAAAGTTGCGTTAACAAATTATTATTATACCTTTTTAAACGATATAGCATGAAACATTCTGTCGTTTATCTTTGTGTAATCAGTAATTTATATTTATATAAATTTATGTTTATATGTAGATGGGTACGACGTCCTATCCAAGTATGACCCAACCATTTTCCATGTCACATTCAGCGTCGAATATGTCTGCAGTTACTGGTATGAGACAAGATGCAATGGGTGAGTTCACATGATTTTTAATTCAACATTTAAATAATCACTTATTAATCAGTTTATATCTTTATTAACTTAGAAGTTAATTTGCAATTCTAGATTATAAATTATTTCATTTTCTTTTTCATTCATAAATATCAAGACCCACAAAATCTAGAACTATTATTTCATTTGAAACTTTATAACATCTATATAATTTATAATAAAGTTATAATTATATCATCAATTATAATTATAATATAATACAATTAAATTTTTTCTCACCAATGAAACAATTTTGTCATCTACGTTTCCAGATTTTCTATATTTGCAATTTTCCAAATTTCTAATTTTTCAATAGACTCTCCTGAAAATCCAATGAAAATTTCTTGAACGATATATATAGATGTAAGACGAATCACAGAAACATTCGTACTTCTTCAATTGTGTCGACTTTACTGATATCAATCTGCGATATAAATTTCAAAATTCTGTTCAACGATGCAATTAAGCTTAATTAATTAACATTCTGGCTGATGATGAAACACAGACACAAATCGTTCAAAATCGGCAATTACAGGAAGATAATAAGAATAATTATGTGATTTACTATATTTAGATATATAATAACGCGTAAGAATTTATCAATTTAAATTTAAAGAATGAAAAATGTACCCTATGTCTTATATCTCCTCATGTAAATCTATTCCCGACGCCTGTCTAATTATTTACAAAAAAGTAGAAAATTAGATTATCAACAAAACAAACGACAGGAATTGTTACCAAATTCCTTCTAAAACCGGAAACATCCGCGCGTGTTTTCTCTCGGCTGTTACGCTGTTGTCTTATAGGTGTCGATCTAAAATTATTAAATGACTTGGCAAAACGTTGGACCGGAAATAACAGGAATCGGACATCCGTACAAACGTTCGTTCGTTCAGTCCAAGACGCTCTCTCCATTTCCGCTCCAATGCCGTCTTACATCATTTCCGGCGCAAGATGGAATATCGCTTTAAAATCGAATCAAGACTATTCACGAATTGCCTGTCTGCCAGTGTTCGTGTTCAAGTTTTCGTTCGGCGGTAGAGAATGTCGAGAGAGAGAGAGAGAGAAAGAGAGAGAGAGAGAGAGAGAGAGAGAGAGAGAGAGATCTCCGGCCAATATTTCTCTCTCGCGTTCGTGTAACGATTTAACGTCTTAATGCGGTAACAAATCGACCGATTAACGATTACGACGAGCCTCCTGGAAAAGTTATTAAATCGATTCACACCGGATTCTCTTTCCTGAGAGAAAAGAAATTTACCTTGGTTCGTCGGGCTGTTTCCGATGGGGAAGGGTGGAATGGATATCTCATTGTCAGCCTTCCTTTTTCGTATTAAATTTGATAACTATTTAATAACTATTGCAAGTGATCAGTACTTGGGTGATTAGTTACTTAATATCTGCTAAAAAGATAATGTTATTGCATTACGTTTGCGATATAATAATTATTGCAATTAGGTCGCAATCAATAATCAGATATGAAGGGGGAAAAGTTTTCTACGTTGAACCATTTGAATAGATACCTCCATAAGTTGGTAGCTTTGGGCAGAAAAATTGGAAAATAATTTCAAAACCTAATGGAATAGGTATATACATTGTGGTGGTTGATTACAGGAAAATATTTTCAAAATAGCGTCAATCTGTCTAATCTAGGAAAACTGGTTTATTTTTTATTATTTTCAGATCTAAACTTTTATTCAATAACGTAAGAGAAGATTCCCTACAATGAAAGAGCCATTTAAAAAAAATACAGAATTGAATCGGAAACAAAATCGATCAGAATCGATACTGAATAATGTTTTAATTCTTTCTGACGACATATCTACGATGTTTAAATAGATTTACTTGATTTGTCACCCCTGTTTCAGGAATGTCAGCCGAAGACGAGTGGTACAACAAGAGTATCTCCGCTCTGAGAATGAATACGGCTCATCATCCCAACCTCGCTGCGCCGATGTTGCAATATCAAACATAATTGTAAGCACACGTATTATGAGTGGAGCACATCCGACGAGATCGTTACGAAATATACATATATTTGACTGTGCGTTATCTTCATTCAGGCAGCTTAGCACTGCTAAAAACGTGTCGTCAAGAGGAGAGAAGAGGAGAGAAACGAGTTGTCTCGCGAATACCATGAAGTACATTTAAGAGAACAGTGAAACGAAATCAAACTCGACGCGAATCCCGTGACATTTTGCACAAGGAAAAAAAAAGTAAGAGAGAGAGAGACGAGACGGAAAATCAACAATTTTCCGACAGACGCGACGACACTACGTCGTGTTAAACAGTTTAATAATCTTACCAGGATTATTCGTTCATTAAACGCTATGGATAGAAAGTCAAAGCATTGTATTATGTATTGCGTTCGAATTAACGAGATATCACCTGTAACATTTCATCGTAATGTTAACGATATTTTGGTAATGGTAACTTTGTTAATATCATTTGATATCATTGGTGAAGAGAAAAAGGAGAGAGAGAGAGAGAGAGAGAGAGAAAGAGAAGAAAAAAATTATTCATGTGCGGCGTTATGCATACACACGGATAGTATTGTATATTCCATGAAATATACACATATTCGCACATAACATTGCAATTATTAGCGAAAATGGTTATGTATGTAAACAAATTTCTATTATTCTGTACAAAGCGTGATATACATTTTCGATCGGACTTTCGATTTTTCAATTAAGTATAATTACATATGTCGTTAGGGATCGGTACGTTTCGTTCTTCGTAGTAGTAGTAGACATATGCATATTGCCGCGCAAAGCAGTTTTTATATTCGGAGTTATATCACTTCGTAGAGTAATACGAACGTAAATTTGTGTTCCTTCGTTGTTCGTTCGTTTTATAGTTGAGATACGTAATTTCATATCGCGATAGACGTCGCGTGTAAAGTGTCGTTTCTCAAATATAAATTCAATCGTGCACAGATTACTCGAAGTATCATGCATTTTAATTCAGGCAATTGTTTCTAGACGAATGTCACGTATCTAATTTAAATAATTATTTCTACATCAAATATTACGTATCATACGTTTGTGTACTTTCACGTAACTCAATTTCGAAAGTGTGAGAATTATTAACTTTAAACACTGCCACACAGTGTTTTTCATTTGCAGTCATTTTCGATTAATTTGATTTATGAACTAAAAAATATTGCATCAATCAAAAAACTGTACGTGTAAAAATAACACGTACTGTCCTCGACAATTCTCGCGAGTACTTCTAAATATTTGTAAACTTGTACAAAAAAATTCTGATCATATTTATTGTGATTTTATTGTCACATTATAATTTTATTTTGTACTATATTACATTTCTTATATACTTGTCGAATATGATTTGTATAGCAAATGACTGACGATCGAGTCAAACTTCAAAGAAACGACATTTCATACGCGTCAACTTAATCTTCTTTCCACTGTTGTGGTAAAGAAAGCTAGCAATTTAAGTATGACGAACGAAATATTTCGTTTGTTTCTTTTTTCTCCCCTCCCCCCTTTGTTCTCCTTGTTATCTATTTTTCAATTTCCTTTTTGACACAGCACACGCTACGCATACTAACAATTAGAATAATCGATGCACGCAAAGTGGAACTCGGATACGCGCACAGTCCACATCCTTTCTGTTAGTTTCTTAACAACGATCCAAACAACAGTTTCGTTAACGGTGGAAGGTTGTAAATAAGCGAGAGATACGTATACAGTGTAATCAACAGATATTCTAGCATATGCGATTTTTCAATGTCCTTTAAATATAAGCATACCTAAACTTAGTGGGATATTAGGTATTGATTTGTGTGCTTATGTTTGGCCAGAGTTTTAAAATAATCGGAAAGAGAGACGGGGATAACTGACAGTGTTTTGCGTTTGAAATTTGAGAGACGCCAGGGGTCTGAATAAATAATTGTGCAAATAGAATTTTGATAGCACATGAATTTCATGTGTTTCTTTTCGCTTCAGATAATTTGAAATTAATATGAAATTAATAACATCTGTATTTACGATTCAATGGCTAATTTCTGATTATTATTAGAGAGAGAACAAATGTAATGAAAATATCAAAGTAAATCAATATTTGCCTTCAGGTTTAATTTAATAGTTGATGCACCAAAACGAACAACTACTTTCATTCATGAGAAAATACAATCACGTGGTGTACTAAATTATAAATAAATTCATTTAATCATATTTGTAAATATATCTTCCTAGCTTTTTAGTTTTTTTTTTTTACTTAATATTTGCTTAATTTAAAAAGAATGATTCAATGAAACATTGCACTTGATTGAGTCTATAACATGATTACAATTCATTTAAATATATATATTCATTTAAATATATATTTCATTCAATTAATTATATCGTATTATATATAATAAAATATCAGTTTCAAGTGTAAATGAAAATAACTAAATGAACGTTGCATTAATTTCACTTTCAATTTGAAAATTTTAACTTTGATAGTTGTCAAATAATTGTTATCCTCCCTGGCGTCTTTCAGTGGTGATATTTGGATCTGTCCAACCAACAATCGTCTATATTGGTGTCATTTTTCGATAATTGTCTAATTAATATATTGATCGAGAATGAAGCTGCAGACGACTGCATTGTTTTCGTGTAGTTTTGCTGCAGCCTTATTACTAAATATCGCTCGCGGTGTTCCACGCGAAATGTTCCTAAAAATTTGTAACATATCACACGAATATACGAAACACGTTTGCACTTGCATACATACAAAGAAAGAAAAAAGAGAGAAAAAGAAAAGAGAAAGAAAACATACAACACATAATGTGTCTCTATTGCGACGAAGCATGCATGAGAAAACACACGTTCACCACACACACTAACAAGTATGTCGAAGAGAAAAGATTTAAAAAAAAAAAAAAAAAAAAAAAAAAGAAAGTGGAAATGCATACCGGGCGAGCGTAATATAGTTTTAAGCAAGGGTCACGTATTGTACGTATGTGTTGTACATAGCCTAAATAAAAATTACATTTAAAACTAAAACGCGCTGTTCTCAAATATTCCCGCAAAAAATGAGATGAGGAAAGCAGAGACCTACTTTAATAAATAGACTACGGACTTTTATGTATTTATGGGGAATTTGAACATGTCGAGCAGCATTGTATTTGTGGAAAATTTTAAAGTGTCGAAAGTACGAATAATATACGACAATATATAATGTCCAAAGCAGATACTCGTTATATATTTTCAATAATTTACTCGTTATATATTTTCAATAATTTTCTAGGTATCATTTTTTAAATTTTATGGTGAAGAACACAAGTGGACCAATAATGATGGAAAATCGTCGATGTTTTAAATTATAACATCGTAAAAAAAAAAAAAAGAAAATTATTTAACAATCTATTTGGTTTTGTTTTTGGTCTTCCACTTTATTTTGTAAGAGTAAAGTTTCATAGTTCCGAGTTTATTTTCTTCAAAGATGTTTTTACATCATGTAAAAAGGTAGAAAAGTAAGAATACTTTTATTCTCGAAGATTGTCAAAATTCAAACGTCTGTAAGACTATCGAAAAATTTTTTTCTCGATAATGATCTAAGATCATCTTTGAGAAAAACGAACTCAAGATTGTCAAAGTAGTGATTTCATGAGATCAAATAAGATTGTTGTATGATTTCTTTTTACGAAGTTACAACGACAATAAAAAATATCAACAATTTTTGATCGACATCGGTTGTTGTCCTCTTCATTGCATTCATAGAAATATAAATAAATATTCATAGTTTATTAATAAAAATATCAAAAAGAGGAAAGATACGTTAGAGGGATGCAAAAGTTCTATCGAGTTTTGCATTATTTGTCAGTACTATTGTTTTATTAAATAAATTATGGACTTGCAACAACGAATTCAAACTATACAATATAAAAAGGATTATATACAAAATATTTCTTAAAAAAACAACCAACTAGGTTTGTCGATTTTGTGTAAATTTAATTTTGCTGTTTAAATTGTTCAAGTTATATTTATCCAATCTTTACATTAAATGTTCATAACTGTGAAAATTTGGAAATACTTTTTAAACTCAAAAATGTTGATTATAGAGCCTACAAAATAATCAATTTATAGATAAAAGAAAAAACTTTTAATAATTTTTTAAATTTTTATAAAAATTTGAAGTTATAAAAAATTGACACAAACTAAACATAGAATTCAGTACAATAATATGTCTTCCTAAATAATACATTTGCACTTTTACAAAGACATCATGTCTGAAAAGAAAGAAATTAAAAACTCTAGCAAATACGTATTTTGCATGCAATAGCAAAATACAGTTTATGTGTATATTTATCACATTAGAAGGGAAAGTAATTCATATTGTAAAATGAAACTTTACACTGCATATCTCACTATCGCTACTTAAATAAATTCTTTTAACTAAAGAATTCAAATTCTTTAACTAACAGGAATCTCAAGAAAATATCTGCACAATTCCATCACTCTTTTACGTGTTTCACGTTCTCAAGCGATAAATGCGTGTTGCAACTTTCAGAGCAACAATATCACCATTATGAATGTTTAATAATTTAATATCAAAAGATCACATCAGTTTTCCACTCAATGCTATCTTCATTTATCCCAGACCTAATACATACTTAGGTAAATTGTACGCAAATCGAGGAATTGCCATGAAAATGGACATCCTGTAAAAAGAAAAAAAAAAATATAAGAAATTTGATAACGTCTTAGAAATCAAATATAATAATACAATATAATAGTAATGGCACTTTCTTTAATTGTAGATTCTTCATTGTAAAACTAATTCTTTTTATATTGTTAAATTGAAAAATATATTTTTTAAAAACAAGCGTGAAAAATTAAATACAATACCGTAAGATATCTATACAGAGGGAACTATATATATTATGATTATAAATTATATATTTATATGATTCTGTCACAAGAAAAAAATTTTATTTTAGCAGAATAATAATCTAAACCAATCTATCTGTCTAAATTCCTAATTTGCAGGGAACATTAAAACTTTTGAATGCTACTAAATTATATTAAAATAAGTAAAAAGAAAGAAAGTATTTGAAATTAATTGACTTATCCTGTTTGATAAATTAATTCGTTAAAAAAAATTTATTTTTCTATTATTTTCTTTTTTCTAATTACAAGTAAAAAGGGGGTAGTAACAAAATAATAACAGTAAGTAATTTTATGTCTGTTTACTAGCGTAATATATCTACGTTTTACTTTTCGTTACTCTATAAGAATGTTAATTATTTGTGCAAGTAATATTCAATATCATATGAAGAAAGAAATTAATTTCAAGTTTCGCAATTTACATTATTTACTGAAAGCTTTCATAACTAATAAATATTCATTTATGGCATTGAAGGTAATTTAAGCATAGAGGTAAAATCTATGTACATGTGTATATACTTACACTATAAGCGATGTAGTTAAGCGTTGGAAATTTCCAACCACCATGTTATATGTTCCACCACCAAAAGGTACTGTTATTTGATTACTAAGTGCCATTTGCTAATAAATATGCTATATTACATGAAATAACTTTTTGATTTTAATAATGATCAACAAACTATTTAAAAATTGCTGTACATGTATATTGAAAACTATTTAACATTTGTTTTCAATAATGCAAAAATAATAAAATATTTTTCAATTTTTGTTTCTATGTCACACTTTGGTATAAAATTTTTATAAAACAGTAGAAATGATGACTTTAACAAGGTGAAATATTGAAAATTATGTTTGTAATATTGTATTTATAATTATGATTATATAAACGATCCTTAATGAAACCGAATATGGTATACTACTTCAAATAACCAGAAACACAAATTATTATACAACAAAATAATTTAAAATAATATGATTTGATCAAATATATATTTCGAGCAATATTTATGAGAAATGTGTAATTATTATAAATTTTAAAATATCGCATATAAATTCATATATGCCCCTTGCTGAAAGCATAAAAACATTAATATATGTACAAGCATTACTGATTAACTAAATGTTAAAAAACTGACATTTTATTATAAAATATAATATATGTACAATGTTTATGTATCACAATAGATCTTTCATCAGTATTGTCTTCCTTGATAAAATACTTAATATAAAAATTATGTTATATTAATATTAGTATTATATCAATTTTTTATACTCAAATCATTTTGAAGAATATACAATAGCTATATATATCATACTAATGCTGTGCGCTATATTTCTGTTGAAAAATTATGTCGCTATGTTTCTTGCAAGGAAAATGCTGAAACATACGAATTAATGTGTGCAACTTATATAGTGATTTATTTCTTTATGCACAGTATACACATGCATTAAATATAACTTGCAGATACTTATATTGAACATTAAAAAGAATATTAATTTAATCCTTTAAGTATTTAATACGTTTGAAAAAATACTTATATCGGTTTGTTACCTATTGCATCTGATGAAAAACTATTTTTTACCAATAAATATAAAACTTAGAGAAGTACAGAGAAGCAACATATTATTTGTTAATGTTTTTATTGTTTCTCTATATTAAAAATTAGTATGTATGTACATTATCCCATTATGTATAATTAAAAATAGTTCGAATTATAAACATATGAATATTTTTCAAACATGTTTAATTACGTTAGTAAGCACTCAAAGGATTAAATCAGAGATAGTCAAGTACAGAATGATAATTAAATTGAAAATGATTAAAATGTGTTGGTCTTTTGAAAATAGTAGCATTTCAATATTAGCATGTGACAACTACTTCTTGCAAAAGTGTTTTATAATTAGTAGACTGCGAATATTTATGCATCTATGAAGAAATTTAAAGGAAGAAAAATACACAAAATGCCTATAATATTTAATAATATTTAGTAAGTAAAACAACTTTCTGCTTAACTTCTATTTCGTTCATAAAAATATAAATTCGCATAAACATCCGCCACCTGGTAATTAGTAATTTTTCATAAAATCATTTTGTTTGATATGAAGTAAAAAGTAATACAAGCAATTACAGCGTGCAGATTAGTAAAATATATTGAATACACGAAATCATACATTGAATACTTTATAGTAGATTTGTAATATTCATTATTTGAAACTAATTATTAATAATTCGTAATGATAAATATCACCAATTGTAATTCAAGTGATAATATAGTATTCATTTATTTCTAAGAATTTTCATTTAATTTATGACGATATTATTTTTATTGCTTCTACTGATTTCAATATTTCTATATATCACTGTTTATGAGAATATTCTTCAAAATTCTTCGGAAATAAAAATTAAACGTGTACTTCTATTATTATTAAAAGAAATGAAATTAATAGAGATTACACCTTATTAAAAAAGGGTCTGAATATCTTATAAACTGCTACTTACCAAAAAACTCGTAAACAAAAGAATAAAGAATATATTATAAAGAAATTATCTGCCCTGAATAAGGCAGATATATTCTTGTTACAAACTTACATAAAGATGCTTGAAAAACACATATCAATTATTATTTATAGAAGAATTATTATCAGTGACATTTATATATGTAGAATTTATGTCAACTTCATTGGTGTTGACATCACCAGAATAAAACTGATACCACCAAGTGGGTACGTACGAAAAAGCAAGTCCATTGTAAATCCAAGCTCGCCAACCTGTCCTTGTTTCACTATCTATCCTAGACTCAAGATTTTGACACAAAGCTTTGCGATCGTGACTTCTTCCACTTCGCAAGTCGCAAAGTAATCTCTTTCGGCACTCATCGTTACATGATGGTCTTACAGGGGAATTCTTATAATAATGTCTGAAACATGGCGTAACGAATCGTTTTCAAAATATTTTAGAATACTTTATCGTCTAAGTTAAACAAAATTTAGAGTTCCTCTCAATCCTTTCAATTTTAGGAGCATTTCAGAAAATATTAATTATTGAAACGATGAAACCTAATTAAAATCTGAATTATAACTGTTCTAACAATACTAAAAGTAATATTTAAACTAACACCTAATAATTGGAAAAACTTACTTATAATATAAATCAAAAAGCGAAGGTTCATTGCTCATCTTATCTATCAAAGTGTCCCAATCTCGTGGCAGAAGTGATGGCATTTGATACGCTTGTCGAGCACTATACATTTTATACCAAATAGGGTAATCGTAAAGATTTGCTTCTTTTAGATTCATTACCCAACTTTCATGATCCACGACCATCTACGGCAAAGATTTTGAAATGTAATTAACATTATAATATTGTAATTACATTGTTATTAGCGTTGGGTTACTCAAAACCTCGGAACACCTTGAAAATTTCGAAAGTTTTTCGAAGAAACGCAGAACTTTGTACTTTTTTTGTGATTCGAAATTTTCGAAACTCAGATAAGAAAAAGTACAAAGTCAATGAATAAAGTTTGACCATTTGCAGCGTGAACAAAGAATAATTGATTCATTTTATTTTTATGTATTGTAATAAAATAATATCTTTCTATTATAACAGAAAAGAGTTTAGAATAAGTTACCCTAGTAGTTTTAGGATGATCACCATCGACATAGTATATCCTGTATCCCGGATTGAGCTCGTAGTAAGGTGTAACCGATGGTCCAACGTAAGCTATACTAAGAGCTCTTCCAAGATCAGCAACATCGTAAAACAGTTCGAATTCATCATAGTGGGTATGTCCGAAAAATTGTGCTGTGATTGTAGATTCGTATCTGTAAGAAATATATACATTAAACTTACTAGTCAATTAGTGCGACAACATTTTTAGTTAAGAGAGAAATTCTTGCTAGTCATTCTGATTTACCTCCAGATTTCTTTTTTCTCAAACAAGAAAAAATTTAATAAAATATCAATTGAACGTTATTTAAGAAAATTATAAACGTAATATAAAGTATCTCACGAAATCATCAACGTGTCCAAAATAATTTATTATAAAAAAAAACATATTATGTGTGTTGTATTTTGAAATTTATAATACGTATTATAAATAAATTATAACATATAATATAATTATATTATAATATATAAATATTATAAATAAATCTAAATAAATCGTTTGAAAATTATCATGTGCTAACCTGTTGATAATTTGATAATAGTTTCTGGACCACACTTTCAAACAGTCCGAATGACCAGGTGGAATGTGCCCGATGATGTGAACTTTCTCGCCATTCATTTCAGCTCCTTGTAACTCATACACGAGCCATTGTAGTTCGCTCACTGGATCCGTGCTATTTAAGAGCAGCCACCAGTTTTTGTTGTTGCAATAATTCATATTGACAGACAGGATTCTGAATCCTGGACGCACGAGGACTGAGTAAAACGCGCCACGGCGAACAGTGTGTGAAACACCTGCTGGTAACCAACGTCTCCAATGTTTATCGAGCGCGTCGTACAACCACGATATATCATTTTCTTTTGACACAAATGGTGGAGGAAAACTGCAACATTGATTAATTAATTTCTCTTTTTTTTCTTTCTTTAATTTTATCTATTATAATATGTGAATAAATGTTGATTTGTGTATATTTATTATGTAATACTACATATTAGAAAAGTATCAAATAACAGTTTTTAGATTTAAAAAAGTGTTAAATAAATTAAAAGTTGTTGCAGTCTACATCGTTCTTTTGTGTTGTACATTTATAAAATGAAATACACCCTTGATAAAAAAAAGATTGGATTATTTGTTTCAAAACTGAAAAAGATAAATACTGTATTTAATGAGGAATTAGTAATAATTTTATAAGATATATATGTGATCGAAAACGATGACTATTGAATATTAAAAATAAAGAATACTAAAAGCTAGACATTTGAGCGTATACGTGTTATTGCATTTATATAGTATAAGAATATTATTTCATTTGTAAAAATATGATCCTTGAATTCATCATTCATCCCATCTAATATTTTTTTCTAATTTCAACGAAAAAAAAAAGAAATATGACTTGTTTCAGAATTTCACAATTCAAACTGTTATATTAAGAACCTCGGTTATTAGAACACTGATTAAATAAAATGATCAATTGCTAGGAATAGTAGGATACTTCTAAAAAAAAAACATGGGGAATAAAAGAAATGCAACATCTTTATTTAACACGTTACGTTTTTATTTCCATTTAACATTAAGAAATGAAATAAAATTATACGATTAGCTTGTGCGACGATTGATTCAAATAATCGAGGTTCTCCTGTAATAGCACTTAAATTATAGAAACACTATTGTAAAAGAATAGTATTATAATAATGAATGAAATTTCACGATTTACAGCAAGCAAAGAAAAAGATGACCTTAAGTCGCTAAGAAAAAAATTGTGAAAATGAATAGAAGAACTTCAGTTACCTGTTCACAGGAGCACTTTCATGATTTCCAAGAGCTGGGAAGATCGGTATTCCGGGAAACATTTCAATGAGCTGTGTCACTGTATCGTGCAAAACTTTCAGATTTTCCTCTCGCGTTTGATTCCATATGTCGTGAGGTGGTAAATCTCCAGTCCACAAAATGTAGTCGATATCCTGGATCGATATGAGAAACTTACAAAATTATAGTATTTGATTTCTTTCTTATTCGAGTATAAATTTTTTTTAAAAACGTATTTTCTGAATCAAGTGTTTCTTTTCATTTACCTTAGTTACATATTACAGATAATTACTATTAACTGTTTTAAATGTACAATAGAATAGTACATAATATTAAAAATATTTAAATTTCAACTTGTTAGACTTCTCTAGAGAAAGATATTAAACGAATTTTTGAAATTGTATTTTATATAAGTATAATGTTAACACATAAAAATATGTGTTCTTATCGATTGCTAATGTCAGACTAAGACAAACATACAAGTTACTTAAAATATATAAAAAACGTTATTTGGTCATTTCATCTGCGACATAACATGTAGTCGAAACGGTTCGTTATTTTACATTTTCAATTTCAAATAAAATTCGTCTAATCCTGTTGTCCATAGAAATCGATCACTCACAGAATGCGTATCGACGATATGTTTCAGCATATGCTCGACCGTTCTTTTCGGCGTGTCACATTTTCTGTAGTCACCCCATCTGCCAGCAGCTCCGGCTGGTGTCTGGGGTGCTCCATTTGTTAATCTACAGCACAATGGTTCGTTACAATCCGCGTTCGCGCCCTCCTGGTAGTAAGGATCGTAGTGTGTGTCAGAGATGTGAAGAACTTTGAAGGTGGGCGCACCTTCTTGAGGAGGCACAGGGGGTTTCACAGGTGGTTTATTCACCGGCGGGAATGCTACCTCCCATTCGTGCAAAGGATTATACGTGTCATCGCATGCGTCGCCAATAATGAAGCTACAGATTTGCGCCGGTCCCATATCCAGTTGTTTTAATACATAAATGACCTCTCCCTAAAAAAAGAAAACGTGAAATTAATTTGGCAAAGAATGCTTTTAAATTTGAAATTTGAAATTTGAAAATTTGAAATTACTATAGAAATTACTGTCACCTGCTCCACATAAAAATTAAAAGAAGTTTAATTTATTAACTGTGTTTTATGAATATACGCAGAAATATTATATACTATGATGCATGTACTATTTTTGAGTATGAATATATATCCAATCCATTGAAACCACTATTGCAATAAATTAAAAAATCAAATGTCGCAAGATATTATTTCTAAATAGCTGCAAGCATTAAAATAAAGTTTAGAGACTCTCATGACTTGATTACTACTTCCAAGAGAGTTGAAATATTCGTTCACAATATCAAATAACTTGAAAATAGATTTTCGAAACATGCAAGTAATATATCACAAGTACCATGAATGAACCATAACAGTCAAAACTTTCGAAATGAGAGGAATAACGTATTTTCCATGTTTTCTATATTTCTTTGCCAGTTTCAAGATTAAAATGACAAGTAGCAAAGACAGAAATAAAACTTACCCCAAAGAGCAACGTAACTCCTTGACAAACTCGAGAGCTTTGAATGTTGAGGGATACACAAAATTGATAAATGCTGTTCATAATCTCCTTATCGTCCTTGCCGACCTTTATGTAGTGCTGAAGAAGACCTGTTGCGACTTTACACGCTGTGCAGGACACTTTCGACATCACTGATGTCTCTACCTCCATCATCACCTGCTTTAGATCTAGTAATTTTAAAGCTTTGTCAACGAATCCTGACAGGTGACCACTTGGTTGCACGCTCTCCATTTCCCACAATATTCTAGAATAATTGTACTGAAAAGAAACACACTGAATCTTTATCGCTGTAGTAGTAAAATAGACTGCAGATTTTTATGCATTTTGACGAATTTGAATGTAATTTAAATACCGTCAGAATGTAAGAAATAATTTCTACATTTAACGTATAATAATATTTAAATTATATTAAAATAGTATAATAATATCTTTTTAGATATTAGAACATTTACGAACTGTTTAAGAAAATATTTTAATGAATCTGTATTTCTTTATATTGCTCATATAATTACACTTTATAAACCGTAAAATAAACAATTAATTATTATTAGACAGTGACGATTATTTTGAATTAATATGTTCTGTTTACATATTCTTTATGTATTTGAAAATATCTCTAGAAAGTTCTGAAAAACCGAATGAATCTCTCTCCGTGTGAAACGCATTTTTTCCCTTCCTTCTTTTATCCGGCGAATAATGAATTTTCTATTGAAACGAAGAACCGTATTGATCATCTGTGAAACTTTCGCGGGGAAAGTCACTGACATTGGATTATACTCTGCGCCTTAACACAAGTAGGAAGAATACAGTATATATATATATATGTATGTATGGACGTATCCTTGTTGATCAAGTTGGTGAAAGTATTTTGGCACTGAAAGTGAGAGTCGGCGACATCGTCGCGTCAAACGTGAAAAAAGACAGGGAAATACGGAAGAACCGAAAGACAAGGTAAGTGGAAATGAAATTATACGGGGTGTCTCAGTTTTCACGGTAACAACAGGGAAGAGCGCAAAAATGAAGCCAGAATAACGAAGAATAACATTTTCTCATTGAAGCCTCCATTTTATAGAAAACTTTTATTCGAAAATTTGTCAATTAATAATACTTGAATTCAGCTACTAATTTTGAACCGGATGGGAACAAATAATCGCCACGAAGATATTCTACGCGAATGAAAAATGGCAAATGAAAAACGTACAACGTACAATTTTTTCATTTAAAGCTACGTCCTTGAGAAAATAGAGTCGTAAATGTTCGTTCATTAATATTCGAATTTCGCTAGTTCTGAAATGGATAGAAATAAACATAATCGACGAGAGGCTACTCCTTCAATTAACGGACAAGAGACAAGAAACATTGAATTCTATAGAATATTGTCCAATAAATATTTTTGGTGCCTAAACAATCCAAAAACTGAACATCTTCTACCATTCTTCTTTTTTTTGCGCATAAAAATCCGCAGTCCACGAAGATTTTCTTACCCGTGGCAATTGATTAGTATTAAAGCCATCGACGATCACAGTTTCCGCGGTCGGTGGTAGATCTCGGATTCCGTTAATAGATGGTAAGACCGTAACGTCTAACTGTCTCGCGGCATTTACTTTGGCAAGCCATTCGTCTGCGAGCTGTGTCCAGTTGGACATAGGCATTTCCGCTTCCTTCTTCGACCCGTCCCTGACAGGATTTCCTACGAGAACACCATCCATGTATTTTTTCAGAAGATGTAAAAAAATCTCTGATCGATGGGCAAAAAAGTACAAGATCGAACTTTGAAAACATAATAAATATAATACATTTTAAGTTATATGATACATGTAATAATAATTTGATCATGTATGTTCGATGATACGAGAGTTATATTATCAATATACTGCAGATTCTTGCGCATTTTTAAGAAATTTCGAAGCGCAAAATTACAGAGAGTGCACGTGCGATATGAGAGAAACATAGGGCTTAGTACTTCCAATAATATTTTCTTTTCAAATCAACGTGGTCGATCTTCGGAATTCTATGGTTTTATGTTCCTTTAAGCAAGTCTGCAAAGTATGTCAATGGTACTATAAGTGTGCAATTGACCACGTATATGTACCCTACGTGGCTCGTAGCGAATATTAGCTGAAATTATATAATTTCTCCGATACGCTCGAGAAACATCCTATAATAAATGTCCTTCGAGGAATCCCATAATTCGTAATCAAATCGAAATCATCGAACCGCGCGTAAATTTCAAGTACTTTCTCTATAAAACGAGGTTATGGTATTGTAAACGTTTCGCTCCATTTTCAACATGAGTAACGTGAGTATGGTTTATGTAAAAATACTAATGTACTCAAATCTTTCTCTGCCTCTTTATCTCTTTCTCCCTCCCCCCTCTCTCTCGCTTTTCACGTAGATATATACAGTGTTTCGTTTATCTTGGATTTACTAATATTTTTATCGATAGAAAAAATTGTAACAGAATTGATCACAGATATTATCTCGTAAAATATTTGAAATGATTTAATTATGTTTAAATATATTTAATGAAATTATTTTTCAATTATCAAATGACGTACTTAGATAAAATATTTGAAAAATAATTACTTGAATAAATATAATAACACATTTAAATAAAATATTTATTATATTATTTAAATAAATATTTGAAAAATAATTATTTAAGTAATACGTTTGGCTAAACACTGTTGTTTTGAAACAATTATGCATGCGTCTATCTGACTGAACAGAGATCTAGCATCAATTATTTCTAATCATCAATGCCATTCACTCGATCTAACAAAGAACTGTAATTAAATTTCAATTGAAAATTAAAAATTGAGCGACTGAAAATTCACACTTCAATTATTATTAATAATGATCAATTTATAATTACTGTCCGACAACGAATTCCTTCAACCAATTAAACCAATCATCATTTCCTTTCCTTTGATCGTAATCATTAATTAAGAAATCAAATTAAAAACTGTGATCCAACTTTAATGTCCATCGTTGTATGATATCTTGAACGTTGTTTAAACGTTTTAAAAATTGTTTTTACATACCAACAGCACTCCTCGACGTTCCAATGAGGAAAAAGAAAATAAAAGTGCTCGTGATGCTCCATCTTTGATTTGGCATGCTATATTTGGCTCTTTGGTATTGTCAACTGCAACAAAAGAAGCAATAGATATTTCAAAATAATATACTTTCGAGTATTTATACTATTAATTAATTAATAGTATAATTATTAACATTTATTTATTTGTTATATTACCTTTTGTATTCATGATATGTCATTTTACAGAGTCAATATTCCCAATATTTCTGTTATTCGACGTCTAGAAATATATTTTAATATGAAAAAAAGGAGATATTATAAAAGAAAGACTCTGATAATGAATTATAAAATTTTCAGAAAATTTTACAGGCAAACAATTGTGTGACTGATATTATGACTAATTGATAGTTTTGAAATATTTAATTTAGAATGAATCAATTTAGAAATTTCCTGAAAAAATGACAAGAAAACAGCTCTATATTGAATTGAAATTTTGATCAATTGATGATTTTCTTGATAACTTATTAATTAACACGGCTAAATGTACACCACTAAATGTACATACTTTAAATTTTGCTCGTGATTACTGTCATTCTTAAGTAGGTCATCGATGAATACCTAATTCAAAATCTTCGTTTCAGCCAATGATCTTTGAAATTGTCACGTTTAAAACTTTAACAAGTTTAAGTGATTAAAGTGATTCTCTTCATCTCTCAACATACATCTTTCCATACACACACACACACACACACACACACATATATATAACGTGGATTACAGAATCGCAGATTGCAAAAATTAGTCCTAATAGTAAATAGCAAGCTATTTAACTAAAATTAAAATACTTTCTGCCAAACATCAATTAACACTTGTGCAAATTATTAATTCTTATTATATATTTCAACATACGTAGATTAGAAATAAACTAATTTTTACAGAGAATATCAAGCTGCAGAAAACGAAACATTTCAAACAGAAGAAAAAGTGGAAGTGAGTTTGAAATCTCCACTTGTAACAAAAAGAAATAATTACCATCATATTATAGATACTTCTGTACCGAATAACTTTTTCTGTGTCGCTAAAAGCGACAGAGATATTCAAGAGATGGACGAAGTTGTTAGAACAACCTGCACAATTCATTGGAGAGGAAAAAAAAAAATGAAATAAGCGAAATGAAAATCTCTTTTACGGGGCGTTTCGATAATGTACATATGACACTGATAACGATTAATCCACGATATAATTAATAGAGAATCGTGTGTCGCAGCCTGTGAAATTGCACGGGCAATGGATGTTCTTTCGATCGTAACGCGACTACCGGTTGCAGTGGGTCAGTGAGATCTGTTTTGGCGAAAGTTCGATGCGCGATCGTATCTAACCGACGCGCTATTTCCGTATATCTCTTTCCTTTCCCTTCACGAGATTCTCGCTGAAAACGTTTACAATTAACCGCAGCAAACCGTATGACCGACCCGCACGATCATCGATCATCGATCATCGTTTCGCGTCTACATTTTCGGTCGATATCAATGATGCGCTAATTCTTCGAATTAATCTCGAATTAATCTCAAATTAATCTCTTCGTTCAATTTGTTTGCCAGAGAGAAAGAAAAAGAGAGAGAAGAGAGAGTTCCACGTTCGATTTATTTGAAAAAATAAAATAATCGATACCGAACGAGATATTATTTTGCATTTTTCGTATTTTTTTGTTACTTGTAATCTCATATTGTTTTAACGTGTCGATTGTGATCAGTATCGCGATAAAAATTTCTCATTTTGAATGCTTATTACGAACAAATTGAACGAGGAGGAAAAGAAAGAAACGAGTGATAAACACTCGTGAAACTTTGTCTAAAACACTTTCTAAAGATTCTCATTTCAAATATTTCGTATATGAGAGATTTCTCACGAATAATTATAATGCGTCGCGTAGTTTTTGATTAAATATAATATGTAGATACGTAGACTGCAAATTCATACATTTTTGCGTACCATGTGCATCAAATTTCTTACGATACGTGTATTTTCAAATTTCTTACAAGGATACACATTTCACCTCGTTGTTTTAGATAAAAATAACAGAAAACAAAAAAGATTGATATTTTCCAAAGTCAACAACTCTCACTCACAATCAGTTAGATAATTTTGAAGGACACCCTATATACGAAATAAAAATGCCTGCGAAGCGAGTGATGTGAAAGTACAACCTTGAAATAATTCCCACTTCATTCATCTTGAAAACAGTAGATATCTTTCAACGAGATATTTGTTTAAAAAATATAACATGTTTGTTAAAATTTAGATATTAGGACAAATTTATTGCAATAATTTGACAATAAAATAAATAAAAAAATTAAATAAGCTTTACAGATCATCAGTAGATCGTTCCAATAGATTATGATTGATATACTCTTATATTTTGGAAATATCCGAACTAACTGGAATTTAAAATATTGGTTTATAGTATTTAGACTTTTGAAATTTTATTTTGTACGCTGGAATTGGAGTAAATTTATTACATTAATCTGACAACAGAGAGATCGACTTTCTCGAAGTAAACTTTACATTTTATCAGAATGATTATTCTATGATTATTCTCTTATAATATTTTGAAAATCAAACAGGAATTTAAACTATTGGTTTATAGTACTTATCCTGGAATTTACTATAATAACTTGGCAACAAAAAGATCAATCACTCTGTACGACGTAAAGTTTATAATCTACCATGATCTGTTCATCATCTTGAAATATCATTAATTGTTCTTCATCGTCAAACTCTCCTATAAGAACCTCGTCATGTATACTTAACGTAAGAGAACGTACTCCTTTTCGTGCACACTTTCGATAACAATGAGCGGAAAGAGGTTAAGCGAACTGTGAAACGCGAAAGAAGAAACGAAGGAACGCGCCGTTCCATACGATTTTTCGGCGAACCTGTATATCTATCCGGCATAAAGAGCCGATCGGTAATTTCATTTCAACGTTCCATTTATTCGTGTAGAGCCGCTGGCTGATCGAGCATCGCTCGATATAAAAATAACGGTGCACCGAAACTACTTCGAATTTCCTAGCACGAAGGAATTCCAAAGGTTTGGTTGATGAATCAAACGGCCGGGGAACGAGTAAAACAGCCAAGTGGAATAAGCGGTTAACCGTTATTCGACCCACCAAGGGACCTTGCCTTGCTGAAAGAAGCCACACACTTCGGCTATGCTCCGTATTTCACTCAATCAAAACGAAATCGTCGCCGCGAAGGGACTCTCACAGACTTTCAGCATCCACGCTCATATCACCTCTTCTAGATGGTCTCCCACCATCTAGACCGACATGTGACTCGTGTTTCACAATGCGAGAAACAATTTAACGCTAGAGCAGAAGAAGATCGGAGTTCCATTTCGCGAAGGGGAATTTAAGATTGGTTTTTTTTTTTCAAATTAGGGAAATTTAAGATTGGTATTTCTTTTTTTTTTTTTTTTTTTTTTTTTTTTTTTTTTTTTTTCAAATTACGCGATTGATATTTTACGCGCGTATGAATAATTCTTGCATTGAACATTTTTTCCTCTATCAGATATTTTGGGCTGCTTGTACATTCAATTATATTACATTATATTATATTATATTACATTACATTACATTATATTATATTATATTATATTATATTATATTATATTACATTACATTATATTATATTATACATTTATTTGTTTTATATTATATTTATATATTCGTATATTCAAATCTGTATTTCCTTCAAATTTTCTTTTGTCTGGCTCGCGGATTTTCATGTATTTATAAAAATATTTAACGGTACGAATAATACGTGAAATATAAAGTCTTATGAACATTTTCTTACAAAATAGATATATTTACTTCTATAGATACAACTAAACTGTGAATTTTAAAAAATTTAAAGATGCAAAAGTTCATAGAGTATGAAAAAGGTACGTAAAATATAGAATTTTATGCGAAGAAAGAAAGAGAATCATACTGTAAATCTATTTCGCGAGTTAATAATTGTATATATGCAGTGATGGACTAGATTGATATTTTATATGTACATTGCAAATAATTCTTGCGTTGAATACTTTATCTATATTAAAAACGTAATTTTTTATCACAATGAAAGTAAATCACAATATAAAATCGAATGAATTACAAACAGAAATTGTATTACCTTGTAATATATCTTTGACAGATAAAAATTATGTCACAGATAAAATGAAAGCTGCGAGAAAAAGACTTTAAATAATCACAACGAACAATGTGTAATAGTTTACGAGAAATTGACATAAATTTCGGAAAAAGTAATCTGGAAAGAGTAGCAGATATCGAAAGAAAAAAAAATCTAGTAATTAAATACTTAAATAAGAATACTATAAATAAATAAAAATAAAGAAATAATTTGAATATTTTAGCTAGAAAATATTCATAAAGTATATATTGAATATTTTAGCTAGAAAATATTCATAAAGTATACGAAAAATAATTGATTATCGCCGTTGAATGGTAAACATATATGTAGATAATAATAATTAGATCAAAAATCAGATCTGCTAGATTTTAAAAATAGGACGAGCATTACAAAGCAGTGTGAAGTACATGTTGTAACAGTATTGACCTCGGTTATAAAATTTACCGTTTCCTGTTTAAATGTCATTGAGTTACATTACTGAATGATTCGTTGGTCAACTTGAAATGAGAATCTCTCATTGTCAAGCATCAAATAGTCTATCTTGTTCAATAGCTGATCCACAATTACTGTGACTCGTAAGTTTCAATTGCTGGTGTCGTTCTTTATATTCCAACCATTCGATATACATACGTATATCTCTGTGAGGCTTTGTGTCGAGCGTTCAATTCAAATTGGTTTCAAATTCGTATGTTCTATGACAATTATCAAAGATAATTGATTTTTGTTATTTCTAGGCTTACTATTACGTGTTTCCGTGTATTTAATCATAATCCTTGAGATTTTACATCTCATCTTGGCAACTGCCAGAAAAAAAGAAATCACAACCTCGATTAAAGATGCGATATAAACTAACTAAGTAAATGTCTTGACATATAAGGTTCTGGATCCGTGTACAAAACCGCGATCTCTAGAATAAATGTGTCCGACCTGCGTGCGTCTGACGTTTATAGGAAATCCTGTTTCAAGCGTCTATGTCGTGAATGGATAATAATATAAACCAACCATAAACGAGTGAAATTGAAAGACATGCTGACTCGCTGATCACAAAAA